TACCCACGGCTACATGACCAGCTACCCACGGCTACATGACCAGCTACCCACGGCTACATGACAGCCTTTAACCACGGCTACATGGACCTAGTTACCTACGGCTACATGACCAGCTACCCACGGTACATAGGACCAACTAACCACGGGCCTACATGAACCAGCTACATGACCAAGCCTAACCACGCTACATGACCAAGCTACATGACCAGCTACCACGGCTACATGACCAGCTACCCACTGTCTACACGACCATGTAACCACGGCTAATGACCAGCTACCCACGGCTACATGACCAGCACCCACGCTACATGACCAGCTAACCACGGCTACATGACCAGCTAACCACGGCTACATGACCAGCTACCCACGGCTACAGACCAGCTACCACGGCTACATGACAGCTATCCACGGCTACATGACCAGCTACCCACGGCTACATTGACAGCTAACCGACGGCTACATGACAGCTACCCACAGGCTGCAACGACCAGCTACCCACGGCTACATGACCAGCTAACCACGGCTACATGACCAGCTACATGACCAGCTACCCACGGCTACATGACCAGCTACCACGGCCTACTGTACCAGCTACCACGGTACATGACCAACTAACCACGGCTACCTGACAGCTTATCCACGGCTACATGACAGTACCCACGGCCTACAATGACCAGCTAACCACGGCCTTACTTGACTCAGTACCCACGGCTACACGACCAATGTACCCGACGGCCTACATGACCAGCTACCACGGCTACATGGACCAGCTACCCACGGCTACATGACAGCTACCCACTGGGCTACATGACCAGCTAACCCGGCTACATGACCAGCCTACCACACGGCTACATGACCAAGCTTACCACGGCTACATGACAGCTAACCACGGCCTACATGACTAGCTACACCACGGCTACATGACCAGCTACATGACCAGCTACCCACGGCTACATGACCAGCTACCCACGGCTACATGACCAGCTACCCACGGCTACATGACCAGCTACCCACGGCTACATGACCAGCTAACCACGGCTACATGACCAGCTACCCACGGCTACATGACCAGCTACCCACGGCTACAACGACCAGCTACCACGGGCTACGATGACCGCTACCACCGGCTACATGACCAGCTACCACGCGCTACACGACCAGCTACCACACGGTACTATTGACAGACTAACCACGGACTACATGACCAGCTAACCACGGCTACCATGACCAGCCTACCACTGGCCTACTATGACCAGCTACCCACGGGCACATGACCATAGCTAACCACGGGCTACATGACCAGCTACCACGGCCTATCATGACCAGCTACCCACGGCTACATGGACCGGTAACCACGGCTACATGACCAAGCCTTACAATGAACCAACTACCCACGGCTACCTGACCAGCTACCTACGGCTAAATAGACCAGCTACCTCCGGCTACATTGACCAGCTAGATACTGCTACAATTGACCAGCTACATGACCATGTACCCACGGCTACATGGACCCAGCTATCCACGGCCTACATGAGCCAGACTATCCACTGGCTACATGACCACAAGCTAACCACCGGGCCTGATAGCCCGCCATCAAACCCTGACAGCACGGCCGCGCAATTCCTTGTCTAGAAAGAATAAATGCGAAAGCAAAACGGTCACCACACAAACCTCGCGCATAATACGATGAAACACAAACATTCACGAGAGTGTATATATATATATATTATATATACTTATATTTATTGATTTATTAGTTTATATATACCTTTCACGGCTTATGGCTAAATTTCATGGTATTATTTCTCAAGAAACACCGGTTGTCCTAGCGAGATTATACTAGTCCTATACCAAACGAGCAAGCCACGTTACAAAAGAGCATTATTGCAATCCCGCACGCAGTACCGTGCTTTATAGAGCATAAACAGATACGCAGATATACCTCGTCATTCCGATTCTCGCAGACGGTCTAGATGCGGCGAGGGGATCCCCCTCGAACTTGCAATGACACTCGATTCTATAAAGTAGGCAACGTAGTAAAGGAAATAGCGCAGTCCAAAACTACAGCAAGGGCCTTCTCGTATTTTGTCATCACTGCCGACCCAGTGATGTCGACCACGTGATTTTAACGTTCGGCTGTAAGTGTGCAGGAGTTTGTGTTGCGTCTGAGCATTTGCACGTGAAGAAGTGCCAGGTGCATGTGTGGAGAAAGGCAGGAGAGAGAGACGTCTGCAGCTCGTCGGGGCTACTAAGCCCTGATATGCTTATATACCGGTAACTGTCAGCAATGAAGGCGAAACGCTACCCGTCCGTCCGGGGGTCTAACAAACTAGTAAGGCGCTAAATAAATAATAAATAAACATTACCAAACGAAAATTGCGCACGGGGAGGGCGGGGAGGGCATCACAAAGAGCAGCGGCAACTACACCCGTTTCCCGCAACTAGTAAGCTATAACAACGACCGAAGAAATTCCAACCTCCTCCTTTCTTCCCTGCACCTCACCCAGACCCGCCTGTGTTGACTGATGCTATATAAGCTACTGTCTACTAACTTTACACGCTCGTGCACTAATAGCAGATAACCCGGGCCGACCCTTCGCACTCTCGGCTACTAGCCTTGCCTACACTACGAATAATGTTACAGATCTGAAAGCTCACCTAATGATCACCATGATACCGCCATACCAACTATAAAGGCCGCTGTTCGAAGAGCCGATGCGAACACTGGCGGTGCGCGACGCCTGCTCAGCAGTTAACAGCAGATTCGACGACGTCACAGCAAAAGTTCACAATGAAGTAGGTAGTTAGAGGCGTGCGGCTATTCGCACGAACATTGTGACAGCCGTGATTAGCGCGTGATTAACAGCTACATAACTGATGTCACGATGGACATCGCCATTGTATTGCGCAATACCCACCGAAACAATAAAGCATTTTCGTCTCCCTGTAATATATCAATCGCTGGCGCTAAGATTTCGTGGCGCTTTGCGCGCGACCGCGTCAGAAAAAGGCGCGAAGTGTCACACATACCTGCGTCACGGTCAAGGTCAAGGTCAATTGTCAATGGTCATGAAACCCGGGCGCCGACGAGATGCACCGTCACAGAGCTTATAATACGAGAGTATTTTATAACTTTGATATTACTCTTGATGCACTGCACCCGGAACGGTGTACAGCGCTACGCTGCCACCTCCCCGCAGCCACACCCTCGCCCCGTATAATTGCATCCCCGTGCCACCTGCCTGTCTGGTGATGTGTGACAGTGCCAACCCTTTAGCGACGCTATAATTACTCCTCCATAAATGTACACGTTTGCTTGCCAACTGCCCAAGACATTCGTCACCTTGCTAACAACACGTCACGGCTATAACTAATAGCACTCTACTTCCTCGCTTTGAAATAGATTCATGAAATGCCGTAAACATACGTGTAAACCTTATGTATGTTTTTAATGGTAGGGGCCGCAGTGCAGTCGCCCCCGGGGAGCAAAATACCAGCATGCACAATAATGTCACGATGTACCAATATTAAAGGCAGCTGGAATCGATTTATAATTGTAAAATTGCTATCATTGTGTACAGAACACAACATGTGTACTATGATTTTTCGCGGACAACCAATTTTCTTTTCGGCTTCATATCTTACTCGTAACCACGGTAACTGCAGACAACGGACCTATATGTACAGTTGGATGAAAGACATGCACTCAATGAACTATAATAGGCAAGAGCCGATCAGTGACTTGAACCTGGGTCCTTGGCGGCACCACGTGACTAGTCCCATCCTCCCCCTTCCGCTTTTGTACCAGAAAAACGACTTCGCAGCTAGTATCAGCCGCGCTGGATTACGATCTTTCCAAGACTACGCCTAAAACTCCCCAAAACCATCGCGACATAGTCTTACCATTATCGCGAAACCTCTACATACCGCGATTTGCCTAGTGTATATGTACACCACAATACAATGTGTACGACAAAAATCCACCACCCCATACACGTTATGGAATAGTCTCTCGTCCTCTCGCTTCACTTTCACCCTCTCTCAAACACACTCTCTTCTTGTCGCCCCTCCCTCGGACACCACTGCCTCCGCACTAGGAGTGATGCTTGGTGTTTTGCACTTTCTACACTATGCAGGATTGCGTATAAGAATGATCTTTTAGCAAACAGCATCGTTTAGACTAGTGACGCGACGCAGGGGCGCATTGACCGCTCAACCAGAGCATCATGTATTAGTCTAGCCATTCGTCAAAACAACACGGCACAGTCACGTGTCTGCATGTAAGTAACTACATGGAGCCAGAGCAGCGCAGGTCAACACCACTTCACAAGCTCGATCACATGTTAGCCCTACGAATAGCTACAATTAAAAAATTCCTACAAAGCCAGAGGAGAGAATCGTGGGGCGCACTACATGGGTTTCCATAAAGCCCCGGGAGAGAATCGTGGGGGCACTACCATGGCGTTCTAAGCCCGGGAGAGAATCGTGGGGGCCACTAATCATGGGTTTCCTAAAGCGCTCTCCTGTAAGATCGCTCTCTCGCGCCGCACTCGCACGCGAGCATGAACGTCCAGCAGCATCAGCACGTCCAGCAGCACCAGCACGACCCGTTCTCCCGCCCTGCAGTGACATCACTGCTGCGGGATGGTGGTTGGCATCTGCATAGCAGTGACATCATGGTGACGCGATCTGCCTGCACCTGCAGTGGACATCACGGTGATGGCTGCACCTGCAGCTGACAATCACCGGTGTACGCCCATCCACCTGCCAGTGACATCACGGTGACGGCTGCACCTGCCAGTGACATCAGGTCGGCGCTCACCTGCAGATGACTATGGTCACGGTGGTATTGCATCTGCCAAGGACGTCGCTGCTGACGGCCCTGCATCTGCTCAGAACATGTTTCTTGGTTCAGCACCTCTCGGTTGCCTCGACCATTTTCGCAGCAGTGCCTCGTGATGCTGCACGCTTGCGTGGGTCGCACGTTGTCGTAATTACTGTTATGCACGCCTGAATCTTGTCAATCCACTCTTGTGCGAATGCTGATCATGTGCGACAAAGCTGTAGTCGCGTCTCTTCGTCTTCACCTGAAAATATTATGGTGAGCAAATGTATTAGCGCGCTGCGCAGCAAATTGCAAGCTACATAACTCTAGTTTTTATGAGAGACAGCCTTGCAAAATGCAGAATGAAATGCCTTACACTCCGAACTATCAAATGCCCTCCTACCCCACGATCAATGCTCCAGCCACAATAATGCGTCCTACCAATGATTCAATGCTCCAGCCATGATCATGCTCCTCACCACATGATCAAATGACTCCAGCCCATGATCCAATGCCTTCCCAGCCCATGATCAAATGCCTCCCACCTTGCATGATCAATGACTCCTCCAGCCCACCATCAATGCCTCCCACCACATGATCACATGCCTTCCCATCCATGATCAATGCCTCCCACCCCACTGATCAATGCCTCCACCCAACGATCAATGCTCCAACCACATGATCATGCCTCCCATCCCATTCTCAATGCCTCCCACCACATGATCAATGCTCCCATCCATGATCAATGCCTCCTACCACATGATCATATTGCGCTCTCATCCATGATCATGCCTCTACCACATTGATCAATGCCTCCCACACATGATCAATGCTCCCACCCCAATGATCAAGCCTTCCCACTCATAATCAATCTTCCTCCACCATAGTCAATGCCTCCCAGCCACGATCAGTCGACTCCCACCCCATGATCAATGCCTCCCACCCCATGATCAATGCCTCCCACCCCATGATCAATGCCTCCCAGCCCACGATCAGTGACTCCCACCCCAGGATCAATGCCTCCCACTCCAGGATCAATGCCTCCCACCCCATGATCAATGCCTCCCACCTCATGATCAGTGACTCCCACCATATGATCAATGCCTCCCACCCCACGATCAATGCCTCTCAGCCCATGATCAATGCCTCCCACCACATGATCAATGCCTCCCAGCCCATAATCAATGCCTCCACATCACATGATCAATGCCTCCACATCACACTTAGCTCTTACCTCAAAGAAAGACTTGTCGTTTGCCTTTTTTGGTGCTCCTGCGACGGCCTGAGCGAGGCTTGCTGATATGACCTCAGCAAGGTCAATGAAGCCCTTACAGTGACTGTCTTCCATGGTGTCATAATATCGCAACTGCAATTACATAATAACGACTCGTAAACGCGTGTTCTAGCATGCGATTTCCTTCCTGTAAAGCGAGGAAAACGATAGCTGATGCCGTATTAGTGACGTAACCACACTGGGAATACCTTCGATACAAACGATGATGTTACATTTTATATGGGAAAATGAAAGAAGAAGATATAGGGAACAGGACCCAAGCAAGGCAGCACGAGTGGTGAGGACGAGTGCAGGGATACATATAAATATAATGGCAAACATAGCAAGTAGATTTGGTATGGATACCAAGACTCCGTGACATACTAAGTCGTAAATTCAAGTAATATGAGTCGCGGAATAGTGATTAACAACAAGTAGTGGTGTGCCTGGGCACGCACAAAGCCTACACCATTCCTGGCTTCTTAATGGCCAACAGAGTGGCTGAAGCTAGGAATGAACGAACGTGAGCTGAGGTGCTGAGGTACGAAAAAGGGGTGATACTCCATTAGGAGTGTTCCCAACTTTAATGTCATTAATGTTCATAATAACATATATATATATATGTTATTATGATGGTCATGGTCATGGTCACCATTAATTATATGGTCATGGTCATATATTAGTTTGTGGTTTAATGTCATTTAGGTTAGGGTTATGGTTAGGGTTAGGGTTAGGGTTAGGATTATCAATCATTAATGATATAAAAGTTGGGAACACTCCTAATGGAGCGTTAGCCCGAAAAAGGGTGAACTGGGCCACAAGAGGGATTTGATCACCGTCCTTTTGTGTAGTCGTTTGTGTTTTTCTAACCGAGTCAAAACTGTTTTACTGTGAACTACGTTTTCAGCCATCTCTCAATCTACAGTCATTCCACAAGCTCGTCACCGCCACCTCAACCTCAACACTAAACTACCACCCAGTGGGACTCTCGCCTAAAGACTCACCTGATTTTTCGACAGACTGAACAGGGAGCCTGGTTAGGTGTTAGAGGGCGTAGTTTCACTGAGTTAGTTTTTAGAGCTCAAACGAAAATAGTTCCCGCCAGCTTAGCGGTTAATAGTTAGCAATGAAAGACTAGTTTCGACTCATGGCAGTCTAGTGTATCCCCCTGGCCAAAAAGATCTGTGAGATGGTAATCTTTTTTGGTGTGTTTGCGCATTTCGTGGTCCTAGCAAAGCGGTGCAACATTTTTGAAAAAATGGTGCAATTTCGGGCATTCTAAGCTATTCTTAGCACATTGTATGAGACTCTTGAATCTCTTTTTCAAGGTGTCAAAAGTTTCGTCAGCGAGGCGGTGTTTTGGACAAATTTCTGTGTGGCGGCTGAGAATTTGAGCGAGGTGGCCCGCCTCGCTCGTGTCAATGCAGGGGAAACACTGGTAGTGACACTGGTAGCCTCGAAAGAAGATGCCGGGCATCATGCTCACCTGATGTTTGATGCTGTCCAGCACAAACCATCGCATCTTCCAGCCTTTGAGTAGTGCGCCGCGCTTGTACAGGTACCCCTCGTGCGTGCTGTTCTCACCCACGTTCGACGAGAATTGATCGTAGTACGTCCGTCCACTCGCCGTTAACGTGCCAACACCTACATCAAACAACACAGCAGTGCAACGTGTGTGAATTAGAGGCCTGTACTGTCTCTACGCGATGTAGATACACTCCACTATTCCACGTGAGTTCAACAAGCTTATCACTTGATGCGATTGAGCCATAAAGTTAGCGACGAACAAGCGCAGAACTGCGGTGACCAAATTTAATAGTATCAGTCACGTCTATATGGGAAGATGGGAAGCATCATCGCCAACACGATACCTTGGTTGATTTTCTTTAGATGGCGGGGGGAGGAGCAATAGCAGCATGACTACACAGCTAGTTCACCTAACCTGGCGTTTTCAGCCTACTGAATTTACCAGTCATCAGACAGTGGCCTGAAACTTCAGGGTTTGGCCTGGCCATGCCGACATGCCTGTCTCACCTGATGTGACAATAGATGCGTTATCGGAGCCGGAGCCTGCTGCCTGCAGACTGGCAGACGACACACCATCGTTGACGGACTTGTAGCGCGTGCAGTTCTTAGGGACCATGCTCTGACACTTCTCATGGCAATTATAGCCGCAGTCGACGCATCGCATTCCTGCAAGAGAATCCGAACGATGCACAACGCCATCTAATCGTGACAACATTGTATTCACTCGATGGTACAAAACATGAGATTCAAAGGCAACAGTGAAATGCTACAATGAAGTGTTATTACACCTTAATTCCCTGCTTTGATTCAACATTATATCTCTCTTTCTCCCTCTCTCTCTCTCTCTCTCTCTCACTGTCTCTCCTGCTCTCTCTTCCCTTCTCCCCTCCTCTCGCTCTGTCTCCGTCATTTTCCTTGTACCTTTCTCCCGCTCTCTCCGTCTCCATCTCGCTCTTTTACTTGCTCTCTCTCATTATAACATCACGTGTCATAGTAACTTTAAGGTGCATGAATAATGGAACCACAGCGTGAGGGGGCAAGATGAGGGACAAACTGACTGCACTCATGCGCCTCTGTTAGTGATTGGAGTAATATCTACAGCTATACCTGTCTTGACAAGGCCCCACAGCACGTGATTGCAGTAGTCGCAGTACGTTGGCGTAGTGTAGTTGAACTTCTCAAAGCGGTGCGGGTGCGAGTACATCTGTGTCGTCTCGACTCCCATCTTGCCCTTGATGAGGATTTCGATCGTTGCGCGTTTGTGAATCGCGCGGCCGTGAGACCGGTACTGCTGCGTCGCTGCCATACTGCTCTGTAAATGATGCAACGTTCGCGCACATTAAGCAATACATAATATCACGAGCTTTTCATTACTTAAATAGTCCATTAGGAAATTTAGCGAAGACTTTACACAAGGGTTACACATTTGGGATTTCTTCATGTGACTATTGCTGTCACCAAGAGTGTGTACCTCAACGTAATCGGACTGAGCTTGCTGCTTGTCCCAGGTATACTTCCAGCGTTGTGGTAGATGTCCGAGCTCCGTCTCCAGTCGATAGACCTCCTGCAGCAGTGCATATATAAATACGTTATGCTCACACACTGAATACAACTGATCAGACAGCAAGGTCGAGTGTAACACTCTCTACATGGCAGATGAGTACATCACACATTACACAGATGCCAACAGCTATTACATCTGCTCATTACAACTCTGTTGGAAACGCGACTACATTGTAATCTGTATGTAAAACGTAACTTCAAAAGTCTCAATCGCAGACAAGTGTTCAATCTATGTGGTGTGGCTTCGGGATCTATTGCCAAGATCTGCACGAGACGCACCTCTAGCAGCAGCGTGAAAGCGTCGGGTTCAACGATTCTCAGGTTGTCGTAGCCCGCCATCACAATCTTCCGGTTGCTAGGCGACGTCTCGAGCGCGTTCTGCTCCTCCTCCTGCTGCGTCTCCACGGCAACCATCTCACGGTCGTACGACGGGTAGTGGCCAAGCTCTTCCGTCACGTAGTAATCCCAGATGCGCAGGTTCGAGATGTTCGAGTACGGCCGCAGAACGTTCATCCGCTGTTGCCAAGACAGTTATGCGACACATGTGTAACGACGCATGACAACTTAACGTGAGGCTGCACAGCTGCACCTGTGTTAGGCTAGCCGCAATAAATCACCATGGCGAGGACACATAGTAAAATCCTACAGATGCTAATATAATTCTAGTGATACTGAATTCTCACAAGGGCAAATAAGTAGTAAGCCAGTGTGAATTCTAGTGAAACAAAATAGTATAAAAATCTTACATTCAGAAAGTGACAGCCATCTCCTTCATATAGCAGTAATGCCAGACTTTTGTGTAGTTTTACCCCAAAATATATTAAACCCAAGCATGTAATTGAGTAATAAATGTAAAAAGCAGATGTTTTATTATAATTATTTGTTAAATGTACTTACCGACTCCTTAACAGCGTAGAAGGAAAAAGACAAGTATAAGTGTTGGATTGTTTTGTGTAGGAAAAGTCAGAAAAGACAACAGCCAACATAAATGATGCAATTTTTCCTTAAACTACTAAACGTACTATTAAAATGGCTTCCCACAGTGTGCAATGAACAACAGTTGGTGCTCACCACCTTCATGAAATATGTATCAATTTAGATTAGATATGGTAGGGCCACAATTAAAAAAATCTTTGTTTGCCCTCACTTGACCCAGGCTGAAAAGTTTGGGTAGGGGGTAGTCTTTTTTTTTAGGGGGGTCTTTTTACAAGCGCTCGGGTGTGCTTGTGTGGAGATACCTTTTATGTTGAATGTTTGTTTTGCTTGGTACATATAATGTAATGTCTACAGATTTATATAATGTCGCATGATACAATTTTAAAAAAAAAAAATGGGAAGATCAATAAATTTTTTTGAGTCGGCCCCTTTTTGGGAAATCGGTCATGTGAGGGCAAACAAACAATATTTTTATTATGGCTTAAGTACTTAGATAATATTTTATATATTTTATTTTATTTATTTATAATTAACTAATATATATTTTATTTTATTTTATTTTATATAATATTTTAAATATATTTTATATATTTTAGACTTACGACGTCTGTCGATGGTGTGATGTACATCGGGTTAAAGAACAGCGGCGACCTCTTGTGATGCTTTTCGATGTATTCCCACATAGAAGTATCTGTTGTGATTGTCAGTGCGAAAATGTAAAGTAGTCTTTCACATCAGAACATTATTACGCTTTAACACCAGTATATAATGTAATATTGTAATTACATCATATGATTACTTATTCTCGCAAACAAACTCGCAAACAAAACGCTCTTTATTTCTGGCCTTTGAAAGATATATTGCTCATTAGGGGTCGAACTTTTTTCCCCAGAACAGTGACAATTGATGTCTACTTATCACTGATGTCATGTCTTTCATCATGCACACACACTCACAAACACAAACACAGCAAACAAATACATACACATGCGCACACACACCCACGTTCATAAAAACACAAACACACCCAGGTAAGCATCCACACACCCACACATGCCACATGCACCTACACACATACCCATGCATGCCGAACGCACAATCATGCACACATAAACACGCTAACATGCGTACACAAATTGATCGACACACCACACACGCCGAAGCACGCACGGAGCCGCATGCGACGCACGCAACGCGACGCACGCACGCAACACACACACCCGCATGCACACACACACACCACACACACACCACACACAAACAACACACACAGTCACACAGAGGCGATCCCAGCGCAGCCGCCCACAGACAGCCGCACGGGTGGTCAGCCGGTACAGGCACGGCCAGACGTGCTGATAGTCACGCACCACGCAACGCACACGCACAGATCACCACACGGCACACGCACACACACACAACAAACACACACACAGCACACACGGCCGGCACACACACGACGCGGCTGGGGACACAGCGCCCGGCGGCGACATAGCACCGCGACTCACCCCTCGGCGTCATCGGGGGCCGGGCGTGAACCAATTGCGACTCGACCGGAGTCTAGCCGAAGACGCTGCAGCGGCAACGCAGCCTGTAGGAATAGTGTGTTGCGTAGCGGCGAGGTAACACGCCGAATTCGACGGAACCGCAACGCGGTGGGTCCAACAGGGCACGCGAGGCGTCCCCGCTCGGCCTGCGCGGTCATTCGACTCGCGCGGAACTCGGGCGGATGACCCGACAAACGACGTGCCGGCGCTGGCCTGGGCCGCACGGCGTACGCGTACATCAGACAGATAAAGGATTTCGGCACACATGCGAAACATGCACAAAAGACCAGGACAGCACACACCAGCACGCGCGCCGCACGGGACGCGACACATGAGCACACACAACTTCACAACATAACACACACATGCATACATCACACACAAACTGACATACTCATACACACGCAGCGCAGCACATGGCACATCCGACAAACCGCGACACCTCATACCACAAGCAGTGCACGACATCAGGCCCTGCGACACAAATGGTTGTCCGATATGCCGGGACAAGTGTCAGTCTATGTCGAAGCAATTATTTTCTATGGCTAGTTGGACAGATCTGACAAACTGAAAAATCCAGTTGTCTAATATTGCTAACATCAAGAGCCAGGGCGGGCTATCACACGATCCGCGCGACATCTGCTCACAGTTATATTTGTTAAAGGGTGTCACAGGTATTAAAATGCAAAAATTTGATCGGACAAGTAAAAATTTGCTTCCTGTCCCAGCGACTGAGAGCAAACAGATCTGAAATCAGAGCGTCGATATGCCTGCACATCGCAAAACATGCACACGCACAAACATGAATGCCACACATGCACATATGATAGGCATGCACCCACACTAACAGCAACTCAACGCGGCACGCACCAGCCACCGCACGCGCACGCATCTAAGCGCAGACATGGCACTTAGGGGCCCCTAAGACAGCACAACTGCATCGCACACATGCACAGCCACCTATAAACACACGTGTAACCATGCACAACACGCTTGGCACGCACGCATGCGCACAGACATGCACATAGACACACACCCACGACATCCCACAGCGCACACGCAACACGCACGGCTGACCCAAACTCACCCGCCAACTGTACCGCCAGCGCACACAAAGGCACGGACGAGCCACACCACACCAGCACACGCACCACAAGCTACACGCGCACCCACAACGGCCACACCTCACACAGCCCACACAGCACCACACCGCCACGACACACACACCCGCCACCACAAAACGCACGCAACTGAACGCACATACAGCACAACACACCCACCACACACACAAGCACGCACGACGGGCCAGCCCACAGCAGCACGCCGCACACAGACGCCACGATTGCAACGGCGCACATGTACAACTGCTTACCTTGGGCGGCCTGCGTGAGGGTGGCATCGCCTTCGACGTCGTCGAGCTCGTCCGCGCGGCTGTGCGAGCGCACTCTCTCGTCCAGCAGCCAGCCGGCCTCCACGCGCTCGTACTCACTGTCCAGCAGGAACGTGCGGAAGCGACCCGAGCAGTAGTGCAGCGCGATGAAGCGCAGGAAGTACTGGTTGAACTCAAACGACAGCGGGAACTGGCTGTGCACCTGTGAGCAGGGGGAGGGAGGCGCGCGCGCCATTATCACATCCGTATATGCGCGTGCAATATTTCTGAGATGTTTTCCCAAACGTTTTTTGTGCTACTCTCGTCTGTTTATTATGATAATAAGATGTGAAACGCAGTATTACATAAGCCGGCAATCGAGAAAAAGTATAGTTTTTTTTGCACTTGGATGACATTGTAAGCAGTTTTTCTTTTCTCCTGGTGACGACGGAGGGTGAAGACGGGGGTGACTGAGGACAGCAGCAGCCGTGATGGGGGACAAGGGCGGTGGTGACAAAGGACAAGGGCTGCGACAAAGGCATAGTGCATGGGGGCGCGGGAAACGACAACAGATGCATACCTGATGCACAACATCCAAAAACTGCAGAAATATAGGAGCAAATCCAGAACTCTGCGATGCGACCGTGTGGTTGCCACGGTAACTGAACCTGTGGCCAAACGCAAGCCACTCCTTTTCGATGATGGTGCGGAAGCCCTCGATAGTGCGATAGTAAGGGTCCAGCAGGACCTGGGCTACCGACACAATCTGAAAAACATGGATGACTTCATTAATAAAATCATTCTTATTAGTAATTATATTAATATTATCAGGATTATGTAATAAGAGAGTATGACACACCTTAATCTACCCATGATTCACTATGGGTAACTCAATAAACCTATATATCCTACCGTAAATATTCAATCAGCCTCACCCCCTAATTGTTTTTCCTATGCACAATCATAATCCAGAGAATGATCAAATGTACTCGAGGCAACATTTATATTCCTGGTCCACAAAACACTTATGTTGTATTTGCTATTAGGCAATAATTGTATATATATGTAGATAGATAGATAGATATATCAAATTGTAAATGATAATAATGCTACTATAGTATAATTATTGTTACATTAAGCATTGCCATCTGATTAGAGCATGGCCTGCTATGCTACGAACCTGTGCAGTGATATCCCAACCGTCCTCTAGACAAACCATGACGGATGAGCCTTGTACGTCCAACAAGTCAACGGCTGCTCCTGCCAGCTGCATGATGTTCTGGATCTAAACGCCCAGCAAACGACAAACAGTTAGGCACGTGTTGGGTGTAACCACAATTGCTCCACTGTCATTAGTATTCCACATAATTAATTAAAAACACATAGGCATAATAATAAAACAATAAATAAATATATATGGGATGTTCGTGTGTAGGTTGCTAAGTGTCAATGTGACCATGTGTATAGTTGTTTGTAGCATCTGCGACAGTCTGGCTTCATGCACTATAGGATTTTCAAGCAAGAGATGCAGTTCAACTTGTTGGTAAGGAATCATATGGATAATAAAGCATTCGTATCTTGTTAAATAATGTACGTTTTAACTTACGCTGGGTATTTAACATGGATCAAACTAACGACAAATTCAAAGATTTAAAGGATCTATGAGGCACTCTGGCACTTTGAAGGATTGCGACGAAATGTTACATTGCAGGTGGTGGCTAAAGGGTTATGTATCTGAAGCCTGAACGCATCGATTAATTCTAGGTGGGCTGTTTATGACTTCCAGGGCTTTCTCTTAATTAGTCTGCTGGGATTTGTGTTCCTATATTCGGGATCGTATGATCGCTAAAGGAGGGAGGTTCCGATGGTGCCCAACTTGCCAGGTATTTACTATGAGGCGCATGGGGGTGACGGGTCCGTTTGTGTCTAGTACATACAGTTGCATGCAGCGATGGAATTGCTGTGATGCGTACTTCCGGTGCGTGGTTTGGTGTCAACTACGTCTCTGCACTGCTGGACGCATCTAGGTATCAAGTGAAGGATTATCTATGGTTGATCGAAGATGATTGATACGGAGGCGTAGCACGGTGCGGTTGGATGAAGGTCACGTATAGAAGAACACTCGGCTGTTGGGAGTGGCTTCTGAAAAAAGATGGGGCATGGATCATGCTTGAAGATGGGGTGTTATTAGGTAAGTTGTTCCACATGAGGATGACTACTTCGCTGTGAATCCGGTGTACTTATATGGTTCGTTGGTGTGGTGAAAGAACTGCATGGTGGGGGTGAGAGATGTGTGCATGTGGGAGAAGGTGTGTATAGTGAGGATGAAGGATGCATGGTGTGTGGGTGTGTAGTGCCATAGGTGGGATAGTGAGAGAGTGTGGCGATGTGGCTGGAGAAGGTGTTGTCATATCGAGTGTATGAAAGGTGCATGATGGTGTAGGGATGTAGTGCATGGTTGGGGTGAAAGAGTGTTCCATGGATGTGAGAGGGTGAGTGTCATAGTGAGATGAGAAGTCATGGCATGGTTTTGGGGGTGTTAAGTGCACATGTTTGTGGGTGAAAGTATGCGCATGTGTGTGGAGAGGGTTGTGTCATGATATGGAATGAAAGGCATGCACATATTGTGTTGGGGTGAAGGGTGATTATGCATGGGTGTGGGGTGAATTGTATCCACAATGGTTGTGTGGTGACGTGTGTGCCATTAATGAGGATGGAAAGGCCATGCAGCATGGTGTTGGGAATGAAAGTGTTGCCATGGTAGTGGGAGAGGGTTGTGTTATATGAGGATAGAAAGGAGGCATGGTGTGGGGTGAAGCGTATGCCATGAGTGTGGGGTGAGTGTATTCATATGGTTAGGAGAAGGGTGTGCATATTGGAGGGGGGGGGGGTGGGGGGGGGTGAAAGCATGCCATGGTGGTGAGGGTGTAGTGCCATGGTGGGGTGAAGCGTAGTCATATGTTGTGGGTGAAGGCGTATCCTGATGTGGGTGAAGCGTATGTCAGATGTGTGGGGTGGAAGCGTAATTCATGGTGTTGGAGAAGAGGTGTAGTTTGATAGATGTGGTGAAAAGGTCGATCTATGACTGGTGGTGGAAGCGTTATTCATTGGCTGTGGGGTGAAATGCGTAATGCGATGGTGGGGGGGAATCGTCGTGATCATGGTGTGAGAAAGGTGTGATTGATATTGTTAGGGAAAGGGCATGCATGGGGGGTGAGCCGTAATTGTATGGTGTGGGGTGAAGCGTGTAATGTCATCGGTGGTGGGGATGAAGGGCGTAGATGTCATGGGGTGTGGGGTAGAGGCGTGGATGTATGGTGTGGGGTGTAAGCGTGATGTTGTCATGGTGTTGGGGGAAGGCGTAATAGTCTGGTGGCGGGTGAACGTATTGTCATGGGTGTCGGGGGGATGAGCGTATGTCAATTGTGGTGGTGTGAGCTGTGGATTCATGGTGTGAGAGAAGGTGTGTGGCCATGTGTGGGGTGAGCGTATGTCCATGGTGTGGGGGAAGATCGTTGATGTCATAGGTGTGGTGTGAGGCGTATGTAATTGGGTGATGGGTGGCGGTATGTCATGGTGTGGGTGAAGCGTAGTGCATGGTGTGGGGGAAGCGTATGTCCATAGGTGTGGTGTAGAAGGGCGTATGTCTATGGTGTGTGGTGAATGGGTTGCCTATGGATGTGGGGGAATTAAGCGGTATGTATGGTTTGGTGGTGAAGCGTAATGCCAGTGTGTGGAGAAGAGTGTGTTAGATTAGTGTGAAAAGGCATGCATCCGGTGAAGCGATATGTCGTATTGTGGTGCAGATCTGGAATGCATGACATGATGAGGTTAAATGGCAATTCATCTTGGCGTGAAGTTGCATGTTATTAGTTGGATGATAGGGAATGTATGATGGGGTGACGGAGTCGTACCTGACTGTAGGGTGTGTGTGAAATGCAGGACAGACCGGTCATGACGTCGCGATGACGACCACGGCCGAAGGAGTCGCGCTGACGCCCGTTGTGCTTACTGTCAGGTTCTCGGCACTATCGGCAGCAACCTGACGCGGACAGAAGAGGCAGCGTCGTTGCATATCGACGTCTAAGTAACCGTACAGGTGTTGTCGACGTATCAGACGGTTCGTCGTGCCGTCAGTGATCTCATAACGAAGCATAGTGAAGGTGGCAAGACGCACGCGCAACAGGTAATAGTTAACTCACTCAGTGCAGTCGCTGGGTAATGGTGGGCTCGGTCAATACATTAGTTCGTCACTCAGTTCGCATCGTCGATTGGTCCGTTGATGTTAGTGTTTGTGTGGTGGTGCTAGAAAATTGGATTAGGATTGAAAATCTGAATGTGTTACTAAGGAAATTCCTTCGTAAAATAGCTATGTGCATTTGAAAATTCCTTGGAAAACCTCTTTTTTTTTTGGAGAACAGTCTTGATATTGAGACTCGATGCCTATCTTGTCTGGCAAGCAATAAAATTTGTTTATTATCAGCATTTGTTTCTAACCGCATAATATTTGAGGGCAATACTAGGCACCGACCAAATACTGGTGTTCAACTAAAAGCTCATAATCATGGAAAGTGATTGATTAAGACGCTGAAACTTGGCTGGAATTAGGTGTTTCCTCGGTTGTACGAACAGGTGAGCTGCCCTGCCGTGCACATGTCTTGTAATTACATTGAATGTTCGTGTTGTGATGAGAGTAAATTGATACGTCACGAAATTTTGCGCATGGCTAAAAGATGTAAAAAAAAATTGACATTTTTGTTACATTAAAGTAAGAACTTACGTTATAAATATATCTCTCTAACCTCTCACGTAAGAGTAAAAATGTTTAGCGTTGGTTTTAAATTTGCAAATAATGTATGAATCGATTTCTGGGAATTTCTGTGTCTAACAGAATTCCCGTGATGTTTAAGATACTGGTGGCGTATATCCTATTTTTCAGCGCGGCAAATTAGGCAAGTATAAAGAAGGTATAAGTAACATTGAAAAGTAAATGAAACAGCTTATTGTTTACTTTCATAACATTTTATTTTCGGTGATCAATAAAAAAATCTTATTTATCTTGAGTGGATGCTTAGAAATTGGTGGAGTAATCACTGTTAAGGGCATTGCATGGCTCTCATCAGTACATTGCTGTTCACGTGTATGTCTTTCTTGCTTGCAGGTTTCCTGCAGTGTGCTGGCGGCACTCTCGCACACGAGCTGTGCTACTGAGAGATGATTGGTATCCAGCAAAAGCTTCTGCAGATGCTGAGGAATCTGCTAGGACGTCTAGGATGAACTGCTCTCTCAAGTAGTTTCTCCTTACTCTTCCAAGGACTCACTGCAGTCGCAGAATGTACCTTTCTTATTCTTAAGCCATGGCTTTCTTCATTCTTGACATTTTACCTCATTGAGCTTTCCATTCCAAATACGTGAAAATATATAGATAACTATGACTCTAAATACCAAAATACGGAAATTCATTTAGAAAATCTTCTATGTGGTAAAGAACATAATTATGCTAATAATAAATGGATGTACAGTACGTGTACTGTAAATTATATATATATCGTATATCACAGCATACACATGCTGGTCATCAGTTCCCATGCAATGATAAATGTACAATAGTTCAAGATTGTTTTGATTTTGTTGTTAAATGACGTGTTATTTATGGAGCATGTCGTCTTCCTGGGTTTACAGGCACCACTAGTCACGAGCAGCCAACGTCAGCCAGCCTGGAGCAGGAGAAATACTTTTCAGCAGTGGTCACCTCCCGAGCATTAGCGCAATCTCAGATACGCATGATGTTAAGGTGTGTATTGATGGAACACGCAATTAGCAGTCAACCATGTTAGCAACACCCTGCTATAAAAGCCTGGTATGCAGTTCTTAACGAGTATAAGCAGCTTCCAATTCGATTTGTGTTGCTACCATACATATTGCAAAATTGTGTACATAGGAGGTTGCTATGACAACACTCCACTAGTTACTAGGGATGTAAAGTCGGTGAATGGCGATACAGCGGCACACAATACCATAATGGATGAGCAGCGTCCGTATCGCAATGCAAACGATACACCATCAAATTGTTAACGCAAACTAATCAAGAGTGCTGATTGTCTCGTGGATTGCATGCCTGTTACTGCACACGAGTGTGGTGTGTGTGCGTGCGTGCGTGCGTTGGTGCCGTGCGTAGCGTGCGTAGCGTGCGCGTTGGTGGTTTGTGCTTGAGGTGGAACCTGTTGATCTCAGGTCAGTCTAGAGCACACTCAGAACTTCTTGGTATTGCTTCTTCAACATAGAACATATATACACAAAATGGTTTACTGGTATATTTCATGGTCTGAATATCTCAATAATAACGTTTGCATTATGAAGGTATTTGGAAATACATATTAATATCACTTAGAATAACATTTAAGGATTTTATCATCCATGAGATTACAATTAGACAAGTTGTTGATAACCAATCCAGACACGGAATACAGCAGAGTGGAGGTGTTTTAAAATGAAAAAAGTTTGATACTATAGCAGCTCTGTTTTTCATGAATCTCAAGTATTGAAATATAGCGGAAATCTTATGTTAATACTTAAGTGGTTAACCCATAATATTCTATCGAGGGAAATTCAGTTGATTAATGGCGCAGCAAAAGCTCACTATTCCTTGACATGCATTGCAAAAGTCTATTGCAGCTACATGCTTTCGCCAGTGAAGTGTGTTTTCAAGCGTTGGGATGGTTTAAGAGCGCCTGTAGCCATGAAGAGATGTTGACGATGAATTAATGTCTCATGAAAAAATATGTAACGATAATTTTTCACATGACTGAGTTAACATGAATATTTCCTACATCGGGATGAGAAGTTATCATAGCGATTGCGATTTTAAACTTCTTTTTCATTACGTTTTTCAAGTATGTCATCAACTGGCGAGTATTCTAGTATTGGGATATGGTATCCATATCGTCGACCATGTTAAATTGGTTGTTATAGCCTCCATGATTACTATTCAGCCCTTAATTTTTTTTTGAATACGTATCCCTGAAAGACAGAATAATCTTGCACTCGTTCTTATAATTAAGTCATCATGTGTTAAGAGACAGTTTATAGAGAACCTTTGATAGAATTGAAATATGTCATTGACACTTTGACAATTTCCAAAAGATACACTTTTGTGGATTTCCTGCATGCAATTATTTACGACCCCTTAAAAAAGAATGGCAAATGTCTATAAAGGACCACTTTGCAATTTCCCGTCTGATTGTAGTCTAATGTACAGGTTTAATGTGTCGATGGCTTTACTTGTGTAGTTTTGCTACTGGTTATCCAAGTAGCAGTTTCACGTGGTTCAGTGTTAATAATATGCATGGATTTCAATCAATGAGGTGTCTTAGTTAGCTATAATAGCATGCGTGAATTTTTTTCCACTTTTTTGTGAAACAGAATAGTAAACGATTGGCTGCGAGATTAGTAGCTCTGCACTGAGGTGAATAGCAGTCGTGTGTTGGCTCGGTCACGTTGAACTTAATGTGATTTTTGTTGCTCAGTGCTTGGACAGAGCCCATTCAGATGGGTATGTCAGAAGATCAACGATGGTGCAAGTCTCAATTCACTGTCTTCAAGTCCGGCTGGGCGAAAATCTCAGCCATGGAGCGAGACGAGTCGGCGCGTCGAGGCCGCTGAGCGAGCTATGAACGCCTGCGAATATGCGGCAACGGGGCTCGGAATAGTAAGCAGCTGATGAGATGATTTAGACATTCGCGACCAGCGGTAACAGCTACAGCTTGAGGTATACCCAGGCTACAATACGTTATTTTAACGTGTTGCCAAGTAGTTGCGTTAGATTTCTGTTTCGATTTGAACAGAATTGATAAGGAACTGTGTAATGCTGCATACATATGTGTGGTCTGATGACAACTGACATGAGGTGTTTATCGCTCCTAGCAGGCTGTCATGTTGAGTTATCATGTGTTGATCTTATAGCTTAATATCACAGTGTCTTATGCCATGTCACTCCGGTAGGCAAAGTGAAAGATCTGAAAGAACACAGACGAGCAATGTGACTCTGGAATGATCAAGTGCAACGGGCATTGTACAGTGACTGATGGAGCGCGGACTATGAATGCCTCAGATAAACGGAGGCTCCACAGTGTAGAAACGGTCTATGCGGCTTGTGTAATATGTAATAGAATTAAGCTCGGCGCCACGTGAGTAATTTTACTCAAGTAATGATGATGATTTGTATTACTCAGTGGCGGCGGATTTTCGTTGAGTTAATTTTGGACGCAACGTCATTTGTAAGCTTCAAATAAATACGTGTTTGATGATTTTTGACGTGTGCGTTTTCGTCAACGTGTGTGGGCTGAGTAAATTTATCACTAACTGTATCAGCTGATGCGTTTTAAATCATTCTGCGCACAGATATTGGCTGGGCTACTGTCACGATTATCTGCATTACACTTATCCTTTGAAGTGAATTTTTATGCACGTATCGGCGACGCTGAAAATAGACGCGGTGAATAAATGACTCATAGCGTCATTTTACTTGAGTAAAATTACTCAGTTGTCGAGGCTTTAACATTAAAATGAAAGCGATGTTTGAACACACTAGGGCACAATGAACTTTGCTTTGTCTCCCAGAGGCTAAGATTCGAATGTTAAACTTCCGCAGGCAACAATGGCCTGCAGAGAGCGGCTCTGTACGTGCTTGGAGAGAAAGGTCAGATCAAGGGCATCAAGCAGGAGTCGTTTCCAAAGTGCGACTTCATTCCCGTCGACTTTTATGATATTCGCCACGTCAAGGCATCGTTTAAGAAGCTGATGCGTGGATGCGTACCCAGCGCACTGACCTCTGACCCCGCGCTCAGCTACTACCGCACTGTCGAAGAGTGTGAATGGCTCAAGCAGGTAATTATGTAGGAGCAGTGTCACAAGCCATGTATCCAAGCCACACACTGATTCCTACGACGATGCATTCCAAGTTTTTAAACATCATGGAACATCTGCAAAGCCCTAAGATTTCAAGTATCATTCTCTGGGCCTAGAAATATCCTAGAAGATTGACTATAGTTTCAAAATTATGTTATTGTGTTCAGTATCTCTAGAAAGTCCTTTAGAGCACAGGTCTATCTTGTCCCATATATATATGTTTATCTTTATATATATATGTTTATCTTTATATATATATGTATATATATAAGTTTATGTTGTGTATATGATAT